ATTACAAATGATTTCATCTGATTGCAAATGGATTTTTTTTTTATCGGAAGGGGTGCCTGTAACAGGCCTTGTCGATCAAGACACTAGGTACAATTAAGCAAATTAAAGTCCTGCTTCGCTTGCACGTTATTGAGAATTTCAAAATATTATGTAGTCAAATTAAGTTTTTAATCACGGAACTCGATTACAATCAACTCGGATCTTAATGATTTATGGCTTAAAATTTCACAAATTAAATATACTAAAACCTTTATAGGTTAAAAATTGCCGCTTTTTTACAGAAATATGAAAAATCGCGAAAAAATGAAATATGAACGATAAATGATTTTTTGAATTAAATCCTCGTATTTTACTTGTTTGGCCAAGACTGTAAATAGTTATTTATTCAGAAGTTTAATACTGTAACGAAAATAATTTTATTCATAAGATACAAAGATTTTCAAACCGCTGACATCTTCCAAATTATCTTCTTCAAAAATGATTCAGAAGCTTTTTTAATTTATCACAATTATTTATATCGTTATAATAGAATTTTACAATTACATTGTTGCTTATTTTATACATTAAATTATATTATAAACAGATATTATCTTATATAAATATTATGATATCACTTACTATTATCTTAAATTTTTGATATTATCTTTAATATTTTTATATTATCTTAATTTAAAATATTTATATTGGATAATATAAATTTAAGATATTATTTTGCAAAAAATTATTACAGATATAAAACAAAAGCGCTAGGTTATATCTTTCGTCAGAAAATAGTTTTTAATAAAAAAATATAATTTTCAAAAATTATGTTTGGCCATAAATAATTCTTGCAAATTAATCATTATCAAAATATTTTCTCAAAAATTATATTTATAAATTATATTTTATTTTTGTTAATAATACTAGAAAAAATTAAAATATTAGCATCAAAAAGTAGTGAAATCAAAAAATTGCGCTAAATAATTATATTGATAATAAGAAAAAGGTTAAAATATTAGCATCAAAAAGTATCAAATCAAAAGTTGCACTAAGTAAGTGACAACATAATATATATATTTAGATAAATTTCTTATAATGATACAAATGTATAATTATTGCTTTATTTTAAAACGTTTATAATATATACAATAATAAAATAAATTCAGTAAAATATATATATATATATATATATATATTTATTCATCTTTATATTTAAATAACATGAATAATTATGTAATTAATTCAAACTGGAATGTATATACATTGTAAAGTTATTATATATTTTTATAAAATATTTAGATAAAAGATATATATAAAAAATAAATTATTTATCTCTAAATAATTATTTAATTCAAATATATTTAAACGTATATTCAAAAAGGTATATAAGGCACAAAGAATTAATGATAAATTATTAAATTAAGGCCATGTGTAACGAGCAATACGATATTATTTTATTATTGAGAAGAAAATTCTTAATTTGACATAATAATTATACAACGTTTCGAGCTCTACTTGCTCCTCTTCAGTGCGCAAAAAATAGTGATAATAAATACCGATAATAAATAAATACATAAAATTCTAATAAAAATCCGCAATACATAGTCAATATAAGTTATATAGTTGAGTCATAGTTAAAACGCAAAATATATTTACAATGAATTGAGACCATTAAATAGTTCAACAAAGTAAGAACCCAATTAGAACAGAATGATTCGTCCGGTTATTCATAAAATATATTAGAATTATTAATAAAAACTTGGAGTGACACTTATACATTACTCCAAATGAACCACTTATCGTTATTTGACGAAAGTCCCTCGATCTGGCAATGATTATGTTCATCCTCTCCAAATTATTTGATATTCGTTAACTGAATTTAAAGAATTTATTCAATTGTAAAATAGGATTCCACTAATGTGTATGTGAAAAAAGATTAAAATTATAAATTAACTAACTACTAAAATATTGAACCTTTATGCTTACAAATTGTTCCGAATAACTTGAGATGACGATGCTTCTAATTGTTGTTGGCCTTATTGTTAGTACTTGACTGTTGTCTAGTCTTTTAAAAAGTCGAATAAATAGGTGTCAGATCTCACAAAATAAACATTTACATAAGTCTAAAATTCGATATTTCTTCTAGAATGTCGAAATACGCGTTGTTAAGCAATTCGGTGTCTGTGTTATTATTTATACCATGCCTTTGTTCCTTGATGTGTATCATTTCCGAGATAAGTCTTTTATAATAATTGTCATACGAGCTTGAGCATTGGTATGTGATGTTTTGATTAGGTATTAATTTTGCATTACAAAGAATTAAATTTAGGAAATTAAAAAAATTTAAAGTTAATAAAAATTTTTAATTTAAATTAAAAATAAAAGTAAAAATAAAAGTAAAAAAAATGTAATGTACAAAAAATACTTAGCGCTGTTTTTGTATTATAGCCCTTTGACTACGAAACGTCCTTAAAAATGATGATTAGTAACGAAATGTGTATATAATAATATATCACACACAGAAGTCGCATCCTATCTTTGGAGAGTGAAATGATGAAGTCAAAATAAGTCGAAATTAAAGAATCATGAAATTATATTTGAACCTTTTTTATAAAAAAATTCATAATGAAAATAATGCGCTTTAAACATCTATCTCGAAACTTTGATTGCGATCAGGAAAACATTGCAAATGCTTTAAAACATGTATCAGAATAAGAAATTTTTATTCATTTATATTTTGATTGATCAATTAAACACTTTGAAATGCTCCATATACATTAATTAATATATGTATACATCAGGGTTGGGAAAGTTACTTTGTAAAAGTAACTAGTTACAGTTACAGTTATTTCATTGAAAAAATAACTAGTTACAGTTACAAGTTACCGATTTTAAAAAATAACTCGTTACAGTTACAGTTACTCTAAAAGTAACAGTCGTTACTTTTCAGTTACTTTTTAAAAATAATTATACATTGTTTTAAATATAAGGAGCTTACATTTTATGCACAATTACAGTCAAGTATTGAAAAAATTCTTGAATGTAATATTGATCGATTTGCTTGCGATTTTGCAATTAACATCAATGTATGAATTATCTTTATATACAACAGTAAAAATAGTTATAGTAAGTTACTAAATGGTAATCGCAAAGTCGCAAGCAAATCGATCAATTATTACCTTTAAGAATTTTTTTAAATATTTGACTGTGATTGGTCAATCTTAATTATGTGTTATATTATTTTATGTACACAAAATGAAAATTTTAGGTAAAAGATTAAATCATATGAAGATCCATATGCTACTGTTATCAAAATTTAATTTAATAATATAACGGCTACCATACTTAAACAATACTTTTAGCGCATGTTTCCAAAAAAAGTAACTAATAAAGTAACTATTAAAATAGTTACTAGTTACTAAAAAATGTAACTAAGTTACAGTTACAGTTACAGATGGAGAAAAGTAACGAAGTTAAGTTATAGTTACCGAAAAAAAGTAACTGTAACTGTAACTTCGTTACAAGTAACTCGTTACTTTCCAACCCTGGTATACATATATTAATAACATATATATGTATATGTATACGTCTTTAGCATATATTAATGTATAGTAAATTCATTTTTATAATTTTCACTTAGCACATTCACATTGCCCAATCGTTGAATCTGTTTAATATGACAATGATTGCATTTACATTATATACATATATTTCATACATGATATCGATATGTTCTCTAGCCACATGTCATTCGAATATCGAGACACTTAATATTATATAGATTCAAATGAAGCGTATTGCAGTAAAAAAATTAGTCTATACTTTGATTTAATTTTATTTTATTTACTAATGTGTTAAAATAACAATACAAAATAGCGCTAAGTATTTTTTGTACATTACATTTTTTTTACTTTTATTTTTACTTTTATTTTTTTAATTTTAAATTAAAAATTTTTATTTAACTTAAATTTTTTTAATTTCCTAAATTTAATTCTTTGTGCCTTATATTACCTTTTTTGAATATACGTTTAAATATTTTGAATTAAATAATTATTTAGAGATAAATAATTTATTTTTTATATATATCTATTTATCTAAATATTTTATAAAAATATATAATAACTTTACATGTATATACATTCCGTTTGAATTAATTACATAATTATTCATGTTATTTAAATATAAAGATGAATAAATATATATATATATATATATCTATATATATATTTTTTACGAATTTATTTTGTTATTGTAATATTATAAACGTTTTAAAATAAAGCAATAATTATACATTTGTATCATTATAGAAATTTATCTAAATATTATATATTATGTTGTCACTTACTTAGTGCAACTTTTTGATTTGACTACTTTTTGATGCTAATATTTTAACCTTTTTTCTCGTATTATCAATATAATTATTTAGCGCAATTTTTTGATTTCACTACTTTTTGATGCTAAAATTTTAATTTTTTTCTAGTATTATTAACAAAAATAAAATATAATTTATAAATATAATTTTTGAGAAAATATTTTTGATAATGATTAATTTTTGCAAAGAATTATTTTGGCTATAAACATAATTTTTGAGATTATATTTTTTATTATTATAAAGAACTATTTTTGCTGACGAAAGATATAACTTAGCGCTTTTTTTTACATCTGTAATGTCTTTTTTTGTGGGATAAATTATTAGAGTATAAAATATATAGTTAATATCCCAGATAGCAAAATGTTAGCTAATAATCATGACTTTACAGCAGATTCCTATCCTAAGATTAATTGCTGTATCTGCAATTGATGACATTATGCTAGCATAAATAATAAGTAAAATCTGACAGCAGATTAGCGGCAAAAACCAAGAAAATTTGCACAATATAGTTAATGGCAAATTGGCGGTAGAAACCTAGTCTGTCAAACACAATCTGATAGCAGATTGGCGGCAGAAATTGAGCAGGAATAATTAATCTACAATTTCTTGTCATTTAAAAATATGATAAAATTGAATATTTTTCAATGAATATGTGCATAAAATGCAGTATCCATTAATTATAATTTATTTTATAAATATGAAATTTAATATAATATAATTAAACAAAATAATATGACATATATTATATTGTAGCTATATCTCAAATAGCAATTGTATACTTTGTAATGTAAATTTGCAAATATTAATTTTTTGATTAGTCCATAAAAGAAATACAAGTAAATATTTTGCAAGCATTTTATAACGAGAGACTACGTGAAAAAGAAACAAATTTGCGCATTTTTGTCGTATTAATCATGAAGATCATTCATACAATTATGAAACTTTTTGTGCATAAATTATCAGTGCAGTATATCCAATAGGCATATCATCTCCATTTTTCTCCTTCTCTACGTTATGTATCTTAAAATTATTTTGAATAATATCTGCGTATTCTTTAGCTCTTATTTCCGCAAATTTACGTGCTAATTCATTCTTGAATTCAACTCTTAGATTATTCGGCATGTCGTCCAAAAAGTTAAAAGTACATTGTGAAGTGACCATGGCTATCGAATTGAATAAAATATATACGATTAATTTAATATTGTAAATCAAATAAATGAGAAAAAATATAAAAACATTATATTAATTACGTAGCCTAGAATTTAATTTTTGCTTGTATATATATCAAGGAAAAGACTTACATAGAAATGTTTCTGCATTATCCTTGTAGTTCAATATCCGATGACTGCAATGATTAACTTGAAATCCAATATCTTCAAGCATTTCTATTATCTCTTCACGAGGTTGGATTGAATAATGAAGTGACCCAACATACTTTGCTTTGTCCTATATAAAAGATAATTGACAATATATACAGTTAAAAAATTAAATGTGCAATATATATATTATATATTACATATAAAATATTTGTTATACAAAAAAGATGTATCCAAAATTAATTCAGGCATCAAAATTAATTATCTTGACGTAATTTGAGATTAAAATGACAAATTTTGCTACCTATAGAAATGTCGAATAATACAAGTACACATAAAACAAAATTGAATCTCATATCTTATGTTAGCCAAATCTATATAAGCATACATTCGGAGGATTTTAAAATAAAAATTTCACAGTTACACAGAAATTATTCTACAATATAATCTTATATTATATTTCAATTGGCAATAATATTCACCCCCATATACGATGCATATCGCTCATCTTGCGCCATAATTTTCGAAACTTCAAAAAAACTATGACGAACTATATATAATATCAGCATAGTTTTGTCAGGTCGAAGCATACAATACATATTTTCAAACGTCTGGCTGTTGAATAACGAAGATAAATGTTAATGATTGTAATTTTAAAAATATATAAATTTATTAGAATTATTTTTCGAAACACATAATTATGCAAAAGTATATATTAGTAAAATCGTGTATTACAAAAATTCTTTCTTACAAAATAATATTATAATTTAACATTATTAAATAAATTTTCTTACCGAATGTCATGGCACCAATGCAAAGTGTGAAATGAGAATATATGATCAAATTTCGAAATATATTTCTCCGGCAAGTTTTTCGTTTGAATATCCAACACTTCGAATTTGAGTCGTTCCTTGTCATCGTACATTTTATTTGCGTATTCGATCGTACTTGCCATAATATCTGTGCCTTTATATAATATACATATATAGTTTTAACATTAATTAATATTATTTTTCATTGCATTATGTGTTGTTTTTGTGCGCGCGTGAGCTGTCAAACTTTTTTACGATTCATTATTTTTTCTTACCGATCATTGTTGCTTTTGGATTAAGAGCCGTAAGAAGAATATCTTTTGTTGTATTTCCAGGTCCACAACCAACATCCATACATTTTCCAGTAATATGTTTTAGTTCCTCGGCAAACTCGTCGACAATAAGTGATATAATTTGTTTGTTCGCTTTAGTAAATAAAGCGTACTGCGCTGCTTGCATCATGATTTTATGATAATGTTCAAGTATATAACTAAAATTTATAAAAACTTGAAGAAAATGAGCTATAATTTAAGAGTTGGTGTGTCGAAATTTCAATAAATGCAAATATACTCTGCGTGTAATTCTTCTTTACTTATTCAGAACGATTTTGGTTTTTTTTGGACTTTTTTTTTTAGCTTATCATATAATATAATACATTAAAATATTCGGAATAATGGGCAAAACAACACTCAATACAATAAGCTGAGATGGTTTAAAGAAAGGAATAAACGTTTTGAATAAATAAAAATGAGCAATTAATTACACACAGTTTTAAAATAACCAAATTACCGGAAATATGTGAATTGTTAGATGTGGCTGGTGAAATTGTTGATGAAATGAGGAATTTATCGAGCTACTTTATAGTTCCTGCGAAAAATTACATAGAGAGCAGATATATATTATGTAAAATCATTGTTTTTGAAGAAAGAGCATTTTTATACGATGAGTGTACTGAAGTGTGTGTGTGTGTGTGTATGTGTATGTAAAATGTATGTATACAGAATAAGAAATAATACAAGATATTAGCATTAAAAAAAATGGTTGCGTTAGTAGAACAGTGTCGCGAACTTTTTAAAGAGACATTTCTTAAAATAAAAATTTAAAGAAAAAATTATATTATAAAAAGATAGATAATGTAATTCGAGGTGTTGTGTGCCTCGGGTCGCGCACAAGGGTTCGCGCCAAATTAGGATATGGATTCGGGGCGTCGAAAGTCGGATCGGGTTGTCTTAAGATGTCGAATCTTATGCACCTGGTTTTTTTTTAAACAATTGAACACTTGTGGTTGGCTTATTTTAACAATATTACACCTATTAGTGTAAGTTACTTAAACTAGTCTCGCGATAGCAACAATATATATGTATATATATATATTTGATTTGCGTGTGAATCTAGTTAGGTTACTGAGAAGCAACTGCCTCGAACGTGTTTTTGCTCGACTTATATAATGTCGATATTGAGGAAGTTTTTTAATCGGAAAAGGTGCCTTGTCACAGGTCTTGTCGATCAAGAGCCTAGGTCAAAGTTTGAATTATGCAGTTAGTTGCTTTATTCACTGCTTCAGTAAGATAACTATTGAATAGTTATCAATGCTTCAATAATGCAGCGAGAAATGATTGGTCGAATCGTTATCAATTTGACATTGATTCGACTTTGACATCGATTCGACAACGAATCGACGTCGAATAGACTATCATTTCTCACTGGGAAGGTAACTTCATATTGTTACTATATATCGAAATATAATATAATATATAGGGTACAAGTAACGTAAATGTATATTGTAATTTCCTACGCATAGATTTTTACAGTTTTATAATGTAAATATAAGATAACTCTTAAATGTTATATAAAAGCTATAACAGCAATATAACTTGTTGCATTATTGTAATATAACTATAGTGTGACTGTTATCGTACATGTTATTGTATATTAACCGAGGGGGTAACCACTAGCTAAAATGTTGTCCCACAGATTACATAATTTCATTTGATTTCATGATTTCATCTAATTACAAACGATTTCATCTGATTATAAATGATTTCATCTGATTACAAATGATTTCATCTGATTGCAAATGGATTTTTTTTTTAATCGGAAGGGGTGCCTGGTAACAGGCCTTGTCGATCAAGAACCTAGGTACAAACGAAGCAAATTCAAAGTCCTGCTTCGCTTGCACGTTGGGCAATTTCGCGTATTAGTGTAGTCAAATTAAGTTTTTATCTCGGAACTGATTCAATCAACTCGGATCTTAATGATTTATGGCTTAAAATTTCACAAATTAAATATACTAAAACCTTTATAGGTTAAAAATTGCCGCTTTTTACAGAGAATATGAAAAAATGCGAAAAAATTGAAATTGAACGATAAATGATTTTTTGAATGTGCTTCCTCGTATTCTATTGTTTGTAAACTGTAAATAGTTATTTACCAGAAGTTTAGCTGTAACGAAATATAATTTTATTCATAATATACAAAGATTTTCAAACATCTACATCTTCCAAATTATCTTCTTCAAAAATGATTCAGAAGTTTTTTTTTTATCACAATTAAAATATATAATTATAATAGAATTTTACAATTACATTGTAGCTTATTTTATACATAAAATTATATTAGAAAAGATATTATCTTATATAAATATTAAGATATATTTATATTATCTTAAAATTTTTATATTATCTTAATATTTTTATATTATCTTAATATTAAGATATTTATATTGGATAATATAAATAGTAAGATATTATCCCACAAAAAAAGACATTACAGATGTAAAACAAAAGCGCTAGGTTATATCTTTCGTCAGCAAAAATAGTTCTTTATAATAATAAAAAATATAATCTTCTCAAAAATTATGTTTATAGCCAAAATAATTCTTTGCAAAAATTAATCATTATCAAAAATATTTTCTCAAAAATTATATTTATAAATTATATTTTATTTTTGTTAATAATACTAGAAAAAATTAAAATATTAGCATCAAAAAGTAGTGAAATCAAAAAATTGCGCTAAATAATTATATTGATAATACGAGAAAAAAGGTTAAAATATTAGCATCAAAAAGTAGTCAAATCAAAAAGTTGCACTAAGTAAGTGACAACATAATATATAATATTTAGATAAATTTCTTATAATGATACAAATGTATAATTATTGCTTTATTTTAAAACGTTTATAATATATACAATAACAAAATAAATTCAGTAAAATATATATATATATATATATATATATATTTATTCATCTTTATATTTAAATAACATGAATAATTATGTAATTAATTCAAACTGGAATGTATATACATTGTAAAGTTATTATATATTTTTATAAAATATTTAGATAAATAGATATATATAAAAAATAAATTATTTATCTCTAAATAATTATTTAATTCAAATATATTTAAACGTATATTCAAAAAAGGTAATATAAGGCACAAAGAATTAATGATAAATTATTAAATTAAGGCCATGTGTAACGAGCAATACGATATTATTTTATTATTGAGAAGAAAATTCTTAATTTGACATAATAATTATACAAACGTTTCGAGCTCTACTTGCTCCTCTTCAGTGCGCAAAAAAATAGTGATAATAAATACCGATAATAAATAAATACATAAAATTCTAATAAAAAATCCGCAATACATAGTCAATATAAGTTATATAGTTGAGTCATAGTTAAAACGCAAAATATATTTACAATGAATTGAGACCATTAAATAGTTCAACAAAGTAAGAACCCAATTAGAAGCAGAATGATTCGTCCGGTTATTCATAAAATATATTAGAATTATTAATAAAAACTTGGAGTGACACTTATACATTACTCCAAATGAACCACTTATCGTTATTTGACGAAAGTCCCTCGATCTGGCAATGATTATGTTCATCCTCTCCAAATTATTTGATATTCGTTAACTGAATTTAAAGAATTTATTCAATTGTAAAATAGGATTCCACTAATGTGTATGTGAAAAAAGATTAAAAATTATAAATTAACTAACTACTAAAATATTGAACCTTTATGCTTACAAATTGTTCCGAATAACTTGAGATGACGATGCTTCTAATTGTTGTTGGCCTTATTGTTAGTACTTGACTGTTGTCTAGTCTTTTAAAAAGTCGAATAAATAGGTGTCAGATCTCACAAAATAAACATTTACATAAGTCTAAAAATTCGATATTTCTTCTAGAATGTCGAAATACGCGTTGTTAAGCAATTCGGTGTCTGTGTTATTATTTATACCATGCCTTTGTTCCTTGATGTGTATCATTTCCGAGATAAGTCTTTTATAATAATTGTCATACGAGCTTGAGCATTGGTATGTGATGTTTTGATTAGGTATTAATTTTGCATTACAAAGAATTAAATTTAGGAAATTAAAAAAATTTAAAGTTAAATAAAAATTTTTAATTTAAATTAAAAAATAAAAGTAAAAATAAAAGTAAAAAAAATGTAATGTACAAAAAATACTTAGCGCTGTTTTTGTATTATAGCCCTTTGACTACGAAACGTCCTTAAAAATGATGATTAGTAACGAAATGTGTATATACAGAATATATCACACACAGAAGTCGCATCCTATCTTTGGAGAGTGAAATGATGAAGTCAAAATAAGTCGAAATTAAAGAATCATGAAATTATATTTGAACCTTTTTTATAAAAAAATTCATAATGAAAATAATGCGCTTTAAACATCTATCTCGAAACTTTGATTGCGATCAGGAAAACATTGCAAATGCTTTAAAACATGTATCAGAATAAAGAAATTTTTATTCATTTATATTTTGATTGATCAATTAAACACTTTGAAATGCTCCATATACATTAATTAATATATGTATACATCAGGGTTGGGAAAGTTACTTTGTAAAAGTAACTAGTTACAGTTACAGTTATTTCATTGAAAAAATAACTAGTTACAGTTACAAGTTACCGATTTTAAAAAATAACTCGTTACAGTTACAGTTACTCTAAAAGTAACAAGTCGTTACTTTTCAGTTACTTTTTAAAAATAATTATACATTGTTTTAAATATAAGGAGCTTACATTTTATGCACAATTACAGTCAAGTATTTAAAAAAATTCTTGAATGTAATATTGATCGATTTGCTTGCGATTTTGCAATTAACATCAATGTATGAATTATCTTTATATACAACAGTAAAAATAGTTATAGTAAGTTACTAAATGGTAATCGCAAAGTCGCAAGCAAATCGATCAATTATTACCTTTAAGAATTTTTTTAAATATTTGACTGTGATTGGTCAATCTTAATTATGTGTTATATTATTTTATGTACACAAAATGAAAATTTTAGGTAAAAGATTAAATCATATGAAGATCCATATGCTACTGTTATCAAAATTTAATTTAATAATATAACGGCTACCATACTTAAACAATACTTTTAGCGCATGTTTCCAAAAAAAGTAACTAATAAAGTAACTATTAAAATAGTTACTAGTTACTAAAAAAATGTAACTAAGTTACAGTTACAGTTACAGATGGAGAAAAGTAACGAAGTTAAGTTATAGTTACCGAAAAAAAGTAACTGTAACTGTAACTTCGTTACAAGTAACTCGTTACTTTCCAACCCTGGTATACATATATTAATAACATATATATGTATATGTATACGTCTTTAGCATATATTAATGTATAGTAAATTCATTTTTATAATTTTCACTTAGCCCATTCACATTGCCCAATCGTTGAATCTGTTTAATATGACAATTATTGCATGTTACATTATATACATATATTTTATACATGTATATCGATATGTTCAGCTAGCCACATGTCATTCGAATATCGAGCCACGTAATATGTTTATAGATTTCTATTGAAGCGTATTGCAGTAAAAAAATTAGTCTATACTTTGATTTATATTTTATTTTATTTACTAATGTGTTAAAATAACAATACAAAAACAGCGCTAAGTATTTTTTGTACATTACATTTTTTTACTTTTATTTTTACTTTTATTTTTTAATTTAAATTAAAAATTTTTATTTAACTTTAAATTTTTTTAATTTCCTAAATTTAATTCTTTGTGCCTTATATTACCTTTTTTGAATATACGTTTAAATATATTTGAATTAAATAATTATTTAGAGATAAATAATTTATTTTTTATATATATCTATTTATCTAAATATTTTATAAAAATATATAATAACTTTACAATGTATATACATTCCAGTTTGAATTAATTACATAATTATTCATGTTATTTAAATATAAAGATGAATAAATATATATATATATATATATATATATATATTTTACTGAATTTATTTTGTTATTGTATATATTATAAACGTTTTAAAATAAAGCAATAATTATACATTTGTATCATTATAGGAAATTTATCTAAATATTATATATTATGTTGTCACTTACTTAGTGCAACTTTTTGA